CAGTTTGCTCGCGGTGTGGCCTATATACACATCTTCACAGTTGTTACCAATACGTTTGTGAGCGCAGTTAGTCATCTTACCTAGGAGAAGTGTCTTTCAGCTACACCAGTGTTGAACAGATCCCGATTGTTTTTCCTTGGTTAGTGCTGTTTGAAAGGAAAACAAACTTCCTTCATATCGGCCCAATCCATTTCGCCGCATACTTTCAATGTGGCTGCAGAATATTGTGAAACGGGTGTCTCACTAACGGTTTCAGGTGTCCCCTGTCCAACAATTACATTACTGTCTACTTCAAAGCGGCGATCCCAACTTCCTTCTCTGTGCCCAGAGTCTTATCTCTGTGAAACACAGATAAGGCGCTCCCAACATACACATGCTGTAGGTGACCGGAATTGTAGTGCTATGTCCGCTGGTTGACGAAATATCTGTTTGGAACCTAACCATTCTTGCAAGCAGAGCAGTCAAGGAATGGCGATGTACAACTCCATGATGAGCGAGTTCAGATTCCCCACAAACTAGCTTTTCGTATAAACTTTTATGTCCAAAATGTGTCATCAACTTGATACCAACAACGTTTGACCATTTACTGGAGTTTGCAATATGTACGAAATAGTGGATATTGATGATCTAATGATAACACCACGTTCTTGCGTGCCGAGCTATAAAAATATATGGCGCAATGTCTTACTCGCGGTTGTTTCAACCACAAGCTTTGGCCACTCTCTAGGTTAATCTCTTCAGGCAAACAGCGTTTCACCGTACCCACTGTGTCGCATTTTGGCACCTTGGTGAGGGTGCGCTGATGTTAACATTAGATCGTCTTTTCATCTTCGTTCCACACGAACCCATGACGGTTCTTTACAAACGTATTTGTTCACCCTGTCAACGTCTGCAATATACTAACGATTGCATATAGATCAGCAAATGTAAGCTGTGGCTAACCCGGTAACCGTATCACAATTAACACGGTACCCTTCTGCAACCGTCACTGCAGTACATCATACATTGCAGTGCAGATGCTGTTGCTAACCTCATCGTAAGACCGATCAACTGCACTTAGTAGATAATTCGGCCACAGCCGCAGATACCTAGCCCGTTGTTCCATGATAGCGCCTAGTGAAACACCGCACACATTGGTTATTTCACCTAGGCACTATTACCCACACCTGATCACACGTAGATTCCGCTAAGCATAGGTCACGACACGTGAGGACATACTTGTTAGCTTGCATGCTGATAGCTTCAGTGAAGGCAATCGATGCTGTCTCATTGTGGAGCGCACGTCCCGTCCGGTCGGCTGCGCGCAACAGTGAGCGGAGAGAGAAGCTCCGATCCCCCCCCATCTCTTTGTTGTGCGTCTTGAAGCTGCATAAGTGAGTGGGTGGGAGGTAAACTACTTCCTCAACCATCCATGCAGATCGCGCGCAAGTCCGCACCGCATCCTACAGTGATTGAGTTCACATGTTGTTTCGATGTGCGCGCACGTAGCACGTGGTTTGTTGTGTGAGCGTAAAGCCAAACGTGCACATGGACTTAAGCGCTGCACCAACCGATGCAGGTGTTCTGAGTAGTGCACTGATTTGCACTGATTGGTCAAGACGATGGGCACGCATTTTTGCGTTGCGCCACATTGGATTCAACTTGATATGCTTATGGCCTGAGTTGAATATTCTTATGAGGAACATGATTTGCTTACGGAAGGTCTTGATTCCGTTATATATTAAGCGGACTCGGAATAGGTGTAGGTGTTTGCATCATCTCTGATGGTAGCACCACTGGAACTGCTGCTGTCCGCATCGGCTGGGCTGCTCTATCACTACCAATTTCCATTCGCTTATGCATGCCATCGAACGCAACTTTGTTAGTTTAGTAGCTCACACTACGTGTTGCAGCGTGCGTTACCGGACATTTTACAAACATTTTCTCTTCACGCCGATTACCTAGACTTATTGATAGAATCTGGCCACTATCTGTGGAGTATCGCTCACTGCTGTGGGGCGAATGGGTAACAACGGGGTGGGATATTTGTCAACAGGCTGTATTCGCCATATTCGTTTCGATCGAACCGCGTAGATCTTTTGCGTACCTGGAAGCCGGCTTATTTTTTTCCGATGTTGCGCTTATCAGATTGAATTCCCGAGAGATAGTCCCTTGATGGCTTGCCAAATTTGCCTGTAACAACTCCTTGAGAGATGCAGATATGCTTTCTTGGAAAGGTTACCGGTTGGCCGATCACATAAATAATTATCTACCCTATCGGATATGGCGTGGTCACAGAATTCGTGGTGTACTGACATTTGTTCCATTCTTTCCTACGCTTAACTATTTTATCTAACATTGTCTGTGTCTTACTTGTTCTTCTTTGAACAACTTCCTCAGCAATTTCATTTATAGCTATCGCACGCATTTTACCTAATTATAACACACATTTTCTGAACTGCGTTATCCTCTTTTGACCAGGAAGGTTTGTCAATTTTGCATTCTTTATGGACGTTCTGTCCTGTTCGAAACGTTGTTGTCATTCGCTGCACTGTATGTAGTTGAAACAATCTTCTCCATTCTCTTACTACAACATTTAAGAAAGCTCGGTAGAAAGTCTTGCCAAATGCACGCATCGTTTTACGTAAACATCTGGCTCATCGTAATGTTTCGTATTACAATCCCCAGAAGTCGCGGAGTGCGCAGGAAATAAGCTCACCCTGGTATGTGTACTCAATGACTTCGAGTGGCGTGATAATGCAGGTGTGAGATTTAAGCTCAAAATCACCGCCACAAAACACCACTATCGCAAGTCTGCTGTGTTGACTGGTTGACCCTCTATTTGGGAAGTTCGGTTTCTCCTTGGACAAGTCACTTATTACCTCTGGACGAGATTCAGGGTAGCTCCGTGCTCCACACTTTGGTGCATTAATCACGATTCATAGAATGAACTTGCTCAATTCATTTTCCACCGGTTTTTACGTCGCTGCCTTATTGACCCGTTGGGTGTGAAGAAACGCACACCTAAAACCAGTTCTCCATCTCTCTGAGCACATTCTCCTCGCCTTCGTTCATCAGTTCTGTGTCACTATTTTCTCTGCTGCCGTTAGTTTATATGAGGAACCCCTAAACTGAAGTCGGATAACTCTAGTGGTCCAAATTTTTCATTGCCAATTGTTTTTACATTGCCTTTGGCGGATATTTTCAACGTATATTTTGCTACTGCTAGCCTTAATTTAGGGGAACCGCTCAGAATTCTCGCCCGATTAGACGCACGCCTGTACTGTTGAAAACCTTTCAAACCGAAGTCTCATTGATTTTCACAGTCACTCATACTGACTTTGTTTGCCAGTTCGCCTGTAAGACACAGCGCCCCGCCCTGGACGCTTTAGCTTGTGTTGCGCATTCCATAGTGTCTGCATTACATAGGAATGCAGGGTTATCCCGTTCCTGTTCCTTACCTCTTCGGACGCGCTGGGAAAATTTAGTAGATTGACTCTACTAAACCTACTGCTTGAGTACAGAGTCTACTGGACTATGTGCAGATTGTCAGTTGATTATTTTGCCCATCTCACCCCCTCTGAACAGTAATCCTATAAACGATCCTCTGTGCTATCTGGCGCTCTATAGGGAACGAATTGTTATATATCCTTGTGCATAGACTGATTTCCATATTGTACACGTTTGTTAGATGTAAATATACCGATTTTAGACTGCATAACTCCAACAATTGAGGCACCGACCACACTACAGCATGGAGCGGATGAGTTAGCGACATGGTCATCATCTCCATCTATTTCCCTTAACCCTCCTTGCTTTAATAGTGTAGTTGTTTTATTTCCAGCTTGTTGAAAACACGACCTCCTTGTTGACTATTAACATGCAAATTACGCAATTCAGTCGAAATATTGCCGAACTTGATTTGCCAATGACAACGCTCTGTGGAGTTGCTTGGGAGAAATGAACACTTTACCCAGGGTTGTTGGTTTGCCCACTATGCTTGTCAAGTCTGTTACAGACGTCGTGTCATTAGCCATGAGTGCGTTGTTGGTCAACTAATCTCCATTGTGGCTGAAATCCAATTTCCAAGCTCGAAAGGCATCAAGATTTAAGCGGTCAACTCCATTGCTTCTTTTCAAGTTATTTGAGTTTTACCCGGAAATTGAATCAGATGATCTCTAGCTATTTTGTGACTCCCCTGCTTCTAAATCTACGACTAATCACACGCCTTCGACCATACTCCAGGGTACTCGTTCTTTATGCAGTGGAAATCTTTTCTCGTCAATGCTCATGGGCCGATTCGAGTTGGAATTTTGCTTCGGATGCGCAGCGGCTGAACCACTGTCTTTTCTAAGCGAATCGCCGACTGTTACGGCTTCATGCAAGCGGTTACCTTAACTCGGCGTTCTTTGGAAACTTTCTGACATGATCCAGTCCGTGGGATATGGTATGCTCAATCAAGATCCTTCACATCCGTTCGGCCGGCGCGTCCACTCTGGAGGGACAAGTGACGCGGATGAGCACTTTTCACTCTCCTTACAGTTCATTGGTGTAGTGCGATAGCTACATGCACTCACCTTTGCTCGCAAAGTTGCTTTACTGTCCTCAACTCATTATCGGATCAGAGGATGATGTGTTGCTGATATATCCCGTTCGGGTCATAGCAGTGTCCGGTGAATCTCTCAATTAACCTAATTCTGAGAGTCTATTTCGAAATTTCCTTCCACTCTTTATATTCATCCTTAACCGCTTTATTTAACGCGCAGCATTCTTTTCAGTGGTCTACTTTACCTGAGAGTCCATGATTCAGCTTCTCAGATCTAACCAATCTGAATGTGAATATTTCCTCAGCGACTGTCCGGGAAATATTGTTCTTCCTGCTTTCTATTTCCCATCGGTCATCACTCATCGTTAACATAATGACCAATCCTGTATTCTAGCGACATGTTTTATTTGCTTCAAAGTTGTCTCTTTCCATGAAATCATCCCCACTGAGTTTCTCCACTATCTCTCTACAACAGACAATCAGTCTTGGTACACGGAGCGTGGTATTCCCTATCATCGGGGTTATCTACTCTACGGTCCACCGGGATGTGGAAAAACCAGTTTCATCACTGCTCTTGCCGGTACGTGAGCCTTATCGTGCGGACTAATTTCTCGTCGATGACTACAATACTGGCATTTGATCGATCTCGTGTCTGTTTACTCGTTTCCAGTGAACCCTAAGGTGATTTGCATTATTTCTGTGAAATTCTCTATCGCCGCTCCGATTGTATGGTCACCGAACACCTGGAAAACTCGGTCCCGTCAACGGAATCAGCTACTCCTAATTACTAGCTTCGAAATTGTGATGCTACTCTTAATAGCTGATAGGATGACTCCACTGATCTGCAGGAGTAAGGCACCACTCATTGACCTACTCCTGCTATCCATACACACCGTTACGTTTGACGATGAGTAGTGTCTCCTTATGTCATTCTTAGGTGTCCAGCGACCTCGGGTACACGCCTCCGACATATGTCCGGACTAAGATCTCTGTCTCACTGAGGTAACGCTCGCCTCGATCTTCTCAGTGGTACGGCTGTTGAATCTCAGATGAACGAATCAGGTTCACTTGGTGTTTCGATTATTTCATAAATGGAACATCTAGTTCTGAGCCCCTTAGTCTACCCTCCTCCATTTTGAACTGTGTCTGGCCGCGTGTTGGATCGAAACGGGCTTCCACCACCACCATAATTTACACAAGCAGTAGCTGTGTATTTTAGTGTTGTTCTTCTATTTTTACTGACAGTTGATCCTTGCTGTAGAAGACGCCTGAAGCGGATGAGTTTGAAACTATCCATTAACCCTCTTGTCTCCACTTAGTACTGTAAAGACTAACAAAGTGAATTCTCTGAAGTATTATTTTCGATTGGCATGCAATGAGAAAGTAGACGCGCTGTTTGTGGAAACATTTTGTTTATTTGCCTGTAGTCGCCTCAGCGGTACTTATAAAATACCGGCCTCTATAGACATCACAGACCGATGTCCTATCTTTTTAGTAATTGAGCGCACAACCACTTCTTCACTGCTTACTCCCATGAAATAATATTTTATCATTAGCGTTAGCACGAACCGGTTACTTTTCAGATCATCTCCCGGTCTGTTTATGCATTGCTTTCGGAATAACAGCACTCTTGTCGCAACTAGTTTGATACTTTTAATGTTGGGCCAGCGATCAAGACATCATCCATAAACTACTATTATAGCCCTAGTTCCGCTCCACTTCGCGGCTATCTTCACTTGATAAGTCCAAAAGAGGACGAATCAAGTTTGGAGTGCAGTGTCAGGAGCACGGAATACCGAGTGCTCTCCACTTCGGATACAGTCCTAGACTTCGATGTTTTCACACTATACCTAAGCTAACGTTTGGTGTGCATGCTAATATCTAACAGCACATAATACGATCCTGTGAAAGCTGGTATTGTATGTTGTCTGCTTGCAAGAGGTTCAGAGCTACTTCGGGTAGCTGCACTTACTCCGCAGCCTATCGCGAGCACGGCGTGCATCACATACCCCAATGGTCACACTGTGCTGTCAGGTCCAGTAAGTTCCCGTTGTCTAGTGTCGCTATTTTTCGAGACAGGTTCCATAGTCGTCATTCTTCCCTCCGAAAATCAGAGCAGTGCCTGAATACTTATCACGGACAGGGCAGTTATTTGTGCTGAACATAAATTCGTATTCAGAATTTCAACTACCTAGGCAGTTGTATCAGCGTCGTTGTAATAGAAGATGAGGTCACGAACAGTATAACAAAAGCACTAGGCGCTTTTGCTAATCTTCGCCATCCATGGCGCCGACGCGACACCACTCTCTCCCTGAAGGACGGATTTTACAACGCAGCTGTACGTACGACCCTGGTGTACAGTTGTGAAGGCACGACCACGAAGAGGCTAGTTAGGTTCGACAACCGGTGCCTTCGCAGTTTGGCTCATATCTGGTCGGAACACCGGGTGAGCAATGAGCGTGTTCAACGCCGTTATATCACGCACCAGGCTCCGAATGCTGAACCACGTGTTGCGCATGCCAGCACAGCGGCTCTCGCAACATGCGTTGTTTGCTCGCCGTGGGTGTAGATGGAAGAAGAGGAGAGGTGGCCATGCGATAACTTGGTCAAGCTTAATGAAGTCCCTTACTTCGACGTTGGCCTCGGTTGGAGCCTGTCGGCTCCATGGTTGGGGTTCGAAAAGCGATGAACACGTTTGACTGGCTACACTAGTTGACATGGTAAGGAATCGACCTCAGTGCCGTTTGTGTTGTGAATTTCTTTGTCCCTCTTCCTCCAACCACAATGTCATTTATTAGGCATAAGGTAACTTCGTTTGCGGCACAATAGCTGGCTGTTAGCTCTCCGGAACGATGTTCATCCGTTACTGGTGACTCGGCCGGTGTGCCTTTGTTGCATGTTTTTGTTTTCTTTTGTATTGCGGCACAATAGTTGTGGTTTTTTCCACCTCTAGCTAACTTGTATGATGAATAATGAATAGATCGCATCTGATATTGCAACTAAAACTTCCAGTTATGAGTTCACTGAATTGTCACCACAGCGACTGTACACCTGTTTTCTGTATCTCATCTGACTTTTGTGTGATTGTGGAGCACCTACATAATTATTACTGTTGTTATGTGACTGAGCGGTGCATTTTGAGAAACAATCCGGCCTACCAAATTTGTCTCTATCACTTACCGAGGTGCCTGAGCCCCACCATGTAGAGAACACCTGCTCTGAAATTGTTATTGGATATGTTGGCCCTAGGCCCTTTATGCTCTGATATAACTTAGACTTGTAGACACGGATACACGTTGCAGAGCCGGTTGCATAAGCCAATGACTCTCACTTTCGCCGAAGAATAAATCTAAGTGCCCAATCGGGTTTCTTGCCCGGGTAGGTACACCACGCTTAAGAGCCGAATTGCCTTAGAGGTAACTGCCCACATTGGTAAGGCTCGGGTAGCTCCTAACTGCGGAAACCTATAGGATTGTTGAAGGAAAAGAATAAGGACCTCAGCAGTAGGCCGGCACACTGTACCGACACTTCACTGCCACGCGAACACCACCAGTTGCCCTATGGCTGGTCATACTGCGACGTCGCCTGCGCATTTGAATCCGCAATCTCCGGATTACAACGCAGGTACGCCATCGTCTGAATGGAAATGGTAGGATCCCTTCATCGGTTTTCCTCGGTTGTGACCTATAAATCAGTCCCTTCAGTGGTCAGGGGCTTCGTCCGATATGGCACAATCACGAATTCCTTGGTGCTTGCGCACACGGTTTCTTTTTCCCTGTTGTATGTCGCCTTGCTTCAGCGCTCGGGCTTTTCTTTCCAAAATTTGTCTGTGCTTATGGAGAGCATGCCAGCAAACTTCCTTTTTACTCTGTTGCTTCTCTACCGACATTCCTGAGAACACACGAGGATCTATGGACGCTATAACCTGGGTACCTCACAAGTCGGATGCGCCAGGATTGTTTAGCGTCCCCTTCCGTCTTCAGCTCTTTGCTTGAAATGATCATAACTGACTGTCCTTTCAAACAAATCTGCTGTGAGAGTTCTTCTGAGTGACATTAAACTAAACCTAGGGTACCTGGGCGATATACGTCCCCTTGAAACGTGCCCATCTTCTGCGCAAGCGCCTACGAATGGATTATCATAGTGCGATGCACGCTTCAGTATGCTTTTCGCACCTTCGGAGTGTAAGGCACCGCCACAAGGCTGGGCGGACAAGTCACCGGCTCCATCTACTATTGACCAGTCGTTTGAAGCAATCAGTCGGTTCATTTACCATGGTATTTGTATCATCTCTGGTGTTCCCATCACTGAAAAGGTTATTGCATATACTGATGAAGCCTGTGTGCCTTTCGAAAGTCTCAATCTGCCTATCAGTTATTGGTAAGGTATGCGGCGCTGTGAAAAGGCTATTGTCAGTCTATGGATCAGACATGATCACTTCGCACTAAACATATTGGAAGTCTCGCAGTCTTTGATCACCGGTGCTTGTGGAGTGCTGCTCACATCGGATGGGGACCACGGGCAAGCAATATTGAAGCCTACTAGTTAGCGTTCGGGAAGAACCCTCGTGCCGCTCCAAAATGTTTACTAAACTTGGATCGCTTATGTTGGCAAGGCTATGCCCTTCGTGTCCTTGTTGACTATATTCCTCGATGTACTTCCGTGCTGTCGCTGCATTTAATCGGACGAAACTGCGGGTGGCCCATTGATGAAGTGTAAGTTGTCATAATGAAGTTAACTGATGAACTTGGTCCGATTGATGCGTTCGGTCTTTTGACATCAGCTACATCACCAATTGGATACCTCGTCATCTTGTATGACAACTTCGCGGAGTTCACGGTGCTTCCACTTTCGGTCTCATAAATCTATCTGTTAGCAATCGAACCAGATTAGTTTTACTCGCTTTCTTCCCTAAACCCCTTTTTTATTCTATTACCGTTCTGTCTCCTTTTCCACTCTTTTCTCTACATCATGCGGATCTGCTTATTGTACCGGGACCCACGGCACTTCGATACTCGGTTCGTGTCCAGCTATCTGAACTGGCATTTCACTTGAACTGAGTTGTACTTAACTCTTTTTGCTTCCATCCCCTTCTTCCACCATATCTTATCCGTACCGCTCTCTTTCATGCTGCTTTGACGGAGTAAACTTGCATTTGATGACGCCTGATTGTGAAAACGACTGAAGTTGCGCATTTCAATAGCAATCATTACTTTCTTCCCATCCGAACTTGTGTTCGCACCCTCGTGTAGCTACCGGAGTGGCCATATTCTACCCTTTGAAGGGTTTAAAACCACCGCACCATTCCGGCTTGGTCCAATCTTTGCCGCTTGCTCAGAATGTTGCTTAGTCCTCGTACCCCCATCCTCTCTTGATACCGCTTTACCAAATCCCCAACGGGGCTGTTCGCACAATGTTGCAGGATCTGTGTAGTTATGGGGCCAGCCATTGAAACCGCTTCGATCAGGTTGCTAACTGCTACTACTTACCACAACAGAGGCGATTCCGTTCACATTTGAGTAGGACGATAGGTCCTGTGGTTGTAAATGCGGTTAACTATGTGCTTGACCTGGTGCCCCCATATATATTGTCGGTTTCAGGTTAACTGTACTTATTGTTTGGAAAGGTGAGGTGCACAGCCTTTGTGATAAGGCTAAACTCAGTGAGTGATTCCATCATGGAACAGGCTACTGCTCAACCACCACCTAGTACACTTACGGCGCTCAAGTTACTCCAGACTTTGTGTCACTGAAATTCGTGCCGAAGGTGTGTGGGGTTTGGAATCATTGCTGGCTCTCTTACATGCATCTTTCAGTCTTCTCACCTCGGAGTTACACTGGATATGGGGTACGCAAGTTGTAGCATTAGATACGTCCCTCTCTAGGCGCAGTCGGCCTGCTGCTTCTCGAAGCCATGTTGAAAAGCAATTCTGGAGGCGGCTGTCGCCAAGCGTATTCTTCTTCTTGGGTTACTAAGCACGGCTAAGCATCTTCTTATGTTCTCTACAAGTCTTGCCTTTGTATCCCTTCCATTACCGGTTTTTCGTCCTACTATGGTGTCACCCACTTCAGCGTTCACCAACTGAAACATCTTCTCATAATCAGTTCGTTTACCAGCCAACTCATTTCATCTCTAGTTGTATTCTGATACATTCATCGTCTTACCTTCCCCCAATCTTGTCTCACTCCTTAGATGGAAACAATCTGACTCACGGATATGCACTTAATCGTCCCTCTCACATGGTATGAAACTTGGACGACTAAACTGTTTTGCAAACATGAGTTTGTGTCACGAACCTAAAGACCACACTTGAAGCGGCCTCCGTAACCTCCACACTTTGAGAACGCACCTACCTGCAACATTTCCCTTGGCGCACAGTTACGGCAACATAGTCAATGCAGCTGAATTGATGGTTGGGCCACTTTTTATCTAAATACGGAGACTTGGATTTGCTAATCACATGCAGACTCATGCGTATAACACAAAATTTATCATCTACTCGATTTTAGAGCTTTACCTCAACTCGACCATGTCGGGCAGCCATCGCTTCTCCGAAGAAGCAATGGATGGCCGTTTCCTCTTAATAACACTTGTCAAAAGCGCGCATCGACAGAATCCTGATGGATTTGACCCGTGACTTAGCTCTCACCTTCAATAAAGCCTTTGGTAACGTCAACAGACTGCTATGGCTGGTTGCTAGCTGCGATTTAGCACGGTCCATCTTTCATTGCCATACACATTACTGCATTCAAAGCATAGTGCTGGCCCCCACAGTTAGAAATTCTTTCGCTAAGCCACCAATTATCTTATTGCATTATAAGCCAGTTCGGACGATTGCTCAGTGACCGAAGTCACGGGATCGTGAGGGTGATGATTTGGGTCTGAATCCAGCAAAGTTTGGGCGGATACGCGCAATTAACAAGTCTCAACGTGACAGTACAATCGACCAGCGTTTTTACTGACGTCTAGTGGCTGCCTGCCGTGGTCTGGTTTGGACGAAACGGCTCAGAGACACCGGAAAACCGCTACTACTCTCTAACAACCTACTCGCTTTGTTTGTATTTGCGCTCACTTTCCCCCTGCCCTTGAATATTTGATCCGTTTGCACGTGCGTTTCAGGTCATCTGGACTACAGTATCAGCGTGTTGAACTTGAGCGAATTTGGTATGACTGCAGACCGTCTAGATCATTTGTTGACTCACGCACCTCTGCAATCTATCATACTGCTGGAGGACATCGACGCAGCAGTGCACAATCGACAGTCTGTTGCAGCTCAATCGAAAGGTGGGTGTTTCTATTGTTCCTCCTCTACTAGCTTGTATACTGACCGTTACTTTAGCTTGTCAGTGCGCTTTGTTCATATTGCTTGTGCGTATGCATGTGTAGTTTACTAAGTCGTGGTTGTTGGCCGCCAGTTTGTCGTTATTTGTTTGCCGCTACTTTTCATGCATTTGCTATCTTCGTGATACGATCTGCCACCAAGCAAAACGCTTCCCACTGAGTAGGCGCTCTCCACTTCATACCCCTATACCATAAAGGGATCGCCGTGTCCGTAAATTTAAGATCTGTTAGTTATCCGCTCAACCTGACTATATCTACCTATATGCGTTCTGAAGGAGCCCCACCAGCGCAAACAAACTGTGGCCAATGGAACGGTTCTAGTCACCGGGAACAATTTGCGCTACTCACTCCTCTGATTTACCCCAAAATGCGCGCTATACTCATAATTGTTAACGGACAGCAAGAATGGCCGCCCATATACCTTAACGTAACACCTAGATGGTTGCTCTCCAACCATCGTCAAGAGTTCAGTTCAGTCAAACAAACGCGATCCCATGTGCGGTGGATCGAATCGCCACGCCACGCCTCGCGCCGTTATGATAATAATAGCAACGAGGTAGGAAAGCGTATCGATTAAAGGCAAGTGGAATTAAGCTGGCCTGGACTTGTACAACAAAGCGCAAGAAATCGAATACAGGAAGATTGTTTTTCCCCAATTGCTTTACCGTAGCATCCCGTCCCATCAGAGAATTCCGGCACAGGTTGATACTGCTGAGGCCAATAGGTCATTTTACCCAAGCCGTTCTCCTCCCTGGTTTCCAATGGACAGTGCTGTTTGCAATAACATGGAATATCGGTAGCTCTAGTTAATAGCTGAGATGTTATCTTGCTCGCTGAACTGTTCGGTTTAGTTGCAGACGTTTCACTACCAATGGATGTGACACCTTCAGTGCATAGTAGCAAACAGCTTGCTAGTAGTAACTGGGCAACCAAATTGCTTACTTCAGCGAGTAGGTCAACACTGCAATAGACAATGATGACCTGCTGCCAACTACCCTGTCTACTCCGTTTGGCACGCTTCAATGTACCCTTCGCTGGTTCATTGTGCAAAATATTGATGAAAAGCGGTATCGACAGATCGCCAATCCTCAAAAACACAGAACCCGCTTGCGGTGACTACTTAGACTATAAAACTTTTATTCTCGACAAGGCGAGGTACGCCTTTACAGACATGATCATTTTGACATAACAATGCATGATCAAGAATGTGCAAAAATCCGATATGTTTGCCATAACGTTGTATGTTTGTGTAGTGGGGGTATGTAAGTATGTACTTGTGTAGTTTGTGCTTGTAATTGTGCTGCTCCATTCTTGAATGTTTGATATCGTCAGCAATGGGCGAGTAGAGCATTGAGGTCCTTGAGTTGGAAAGGATTGTCCGGATATCCATGGGACAGTGACTTTATCTTGTGCCGAGTCACGACCGCCACGTCACAATGTTGTTAAGCAGACATTTGTGGCTTTTTATAAGGAGAACGCTTGCCAGGCGAAAACTCGCCATGTCCTGGAACACTGCCGCCGAACTATTTCTTGGTGTGGGTTAAACTCGAATCACCCAGCTGGCACTACGCGCGGGTTGTTCGGTTAGCCAGCCGACTAACTATCCACCTTGAGAGGCGCAACATTTTACGTTTTAGATTTTTTGGATTTATTACAGAATCTTAAGTTCCGGATCACTGAACTTACACTTTTTCGTCACGGTATGACGAGTTCCAATTATTTAAGTCATTCTGAAATACTTTCAACATAGTTTTTTTCTGTAAGGATTTGAAAATCTGGGTAATATATATTGTTACTCGCATGTTTCTGCCCCATTCGATAGAGGTACCTCTTAGCTTTCCAACAAACTCCCGTCCCATTCCATCAATATTTTCGCAGCTACAGAGCAGATTACCTTTCTACTGTGATCCATCCCTAACCAGGTGGCCATCAACTTTTACCGCTCTCCATTTCATTCGGTGCGATCAATAAATCTGCCGTGCACGACAACAGCCTACACAACTGGACCACACTGGTTGCATTACCCTCGATCGTATGACGGACAGATGCAGCACTAAAGCCTCGATGCGCCAATCTTCTGATCTCTACTCGACGATTGGCGGGCGGTCGTCACCCACTGGCAAGGCACCCGCAATCTAGGCAGCGGCTGCTCAACTATAATGTCCACAACAACTGTGACCCTGTTATAATTGAGTCGCCACTATTATGATTGAGGGAACGCCGCCTCTCGATATGGATTGCGTAACGCCTGATAAGATTGTCGCTGGCCCGATTGGAGCACGCCTACGATAATTGCTTGTAACGCTGGCCAATCGAACGGAGTTGCGTTGACCTGATGACGCTAGCTTAGCCGGTGAGACGGAAAATTGAGCGAGCGTGTGACTGATCCTAGCCGCAAGCGTTCGGATAGACGCTGACCCCTCGGAACGGGCGCACACGAGAGGGGGTTGCGATAGACGCGCGCTAATGACTTAGACGCGAAGGCTGGCCAGCTAACGACTCACACGCAATTACGTGACCCGACCGACTCCCAACTGAGGCGAAGAGAAAGAAAAGGCAAGTGGTCCTCTGTAGGCTCTTTTACGACCGACAAAGGGCGATCACAGACAGTGCTATCGGTTATTAAATTAAGGAAAACTGTCACCACGAAGAGGGGGTAGTTTGTAAATGACCATTGTCAAAAGGTGCGCAGTTTGGGCCGCGTCTCGGAGTGGCTGAGCTCTGCTGCGTTGTGGGGAGGAATTGGACCCCGCTTCCCACAGCCATTCTGTCGGGGTTTCTGGCGTGTTTTGCGGGGATTATTGACGGGCCCGCAACACCTCCCCTTGAAGAGAGAGCGTACCGCTTCTGGCGAGGATTTACCTGGAGGGATTTCGGTGACCTCCGGATTCTTTCTGTTCGTCGGCAAGGTGGGTTTTCGAGACGCGGTGGCGATTGAGCGGCTTCGACCGTGGTCTCCCGTTGTGGAGCCATTCCAAAGGTATGCAGCAGGATGTGCAGCGGCAGGTGCACGGGATGGCTGGCTGGCATGGAGGTTTCTTCGTGGCGTGGGCGAAGTTGATTGTGATGGCGAACCCAGGTGTCATCACCCACGGAGACATCATACAGCATGTCACCTCGTCTGACCATCACGGTTGCTTTGATCCAGCGAGGATGACCTGCTCGGTAATCGCGAGCGTAGACCGGGGCTCCAACGACGAATTCTTTATGCTTGTTGCTGGCACCAGATTGAGTAGGTGGCTTCTCAGTCGGAATGAGTGCATCGTTGGTGGTGCGTAGTTTACGGCCCATCAATGCTTCAGACGGTGACTGGCCTCCTGGCGTAGCTGGATTCGGTGTGGACCGGTACGAGAGCCGGAAGGCTTGAAGACACTCATCCACGGTCCCCTCCCCGCGAGATTTCAAAAGCGCCCTCTTGAATGTGTCGACAAATCGCTCCGCTTGACCATTGGACTGGGGATGGCCGACGGTTCACGCTACTGACCGATCACAAGCCCCTACTTTCAATCTTCGGTTCAAAGAAGGGCATTCCGGCATACTCGGCTAGTCGCCTTCAGTGTTGGGCGGTCATCCTTCTTGGTTACGACTTCGAAATCCGCTACTGCCGTATCCAGGATTTTGGTCAAGCCGATCATCTCTTCCACCACACTTCCAAACATGCTGCAGAAGAAGACACAGTGATTGCCGCTGTTACCGTCGAGGACGACATTCGTTATCGACTATCGAACGCTATCCGAAGTCTCCCTATCACTGCCGCCGACATACGTCGTGCAACTGCTCAAGACCCTGTCTTGCAGACCCGAAGCGAAGTCATCCGTGACACTGAAGTCTGCGCTGAGACAGTAATGGTGGGTCTGGCATGTTCACACTGTACCAGTGATTACAACTCGAAATGCGCCGGTATTTTTAACCGAAGTATAATAGTTCGTCTGATTCACTCTGCTTCTGTCCTGAGTATACGACTGTTCCTCTTCTAAAATGTATACCAGGATTATTGAAATGTCGAACGGTCTAATTACCGGAACTGAGCCTCTTTTAAATGCAGAATTTACTCCTTCAGAGGCGGCAGAGTAAGGATTACGCCTCATCCACCTACCCCATCACTACCTCAAAAACCAAGGAAAGGGTTAGGCGTTCCCGCACTATCACAGTAACGGAAAACTTTGGAACCCTGAGCCGACTAATCATCGCGAATGATCGAAGTATGCCTGACCCCACCGCCACTACTCTCTTGTCCAACCTATCGACTGATGCGACCGCGGCGACGCCTACAAACGACCACCGCACGGGCAGTAGAGGAAAAATCATTTTCGTTAATGACGTGTCCGAGCTACCGGCAACCAGTGACGAGGAAACTCATGTCCATGACCTAAACGCATGGCGGTCCTCTACTGTCGACGTCATACTTCAGTCAATTTCAGAATTACCCATGTACCTCAATACAAAGGCGGCGGTCCGATGATACTGAGACTTGTGGTTTTGCCTCAGCAGATGGTGGTGAACCTAGTGCATAGGTGTCCAAAATTGCGCAATACACTGCCGTCGGAACTACGTCTAAAGGCAGCAATTAGAGAACCGCATCTACCTGACGTCATCGAGTTAACAACACCACCCTTGACTCAGTGTAACCTCAACAGAGAACCATTTGCTCTGACTGATTGCCATTGTGCGCGGATTGCAGCCATATCGAGACTTGCCGTTATTCTGTCCACCGGCAAACCACCCGTCTTCATAAGACACACCTCGTAAAGTGGAGCTTCGTCTGGTGGCTACATGCTGTACCCACCCAAATTTTTTTACCTCACCACGTGTGAAAGGACAGTAAGCGAGTGCGCCGTACTCTAGCATTGGTCGAATAATTGAGACGAAGAGACGGATGGCATTATCTTCGGACCAAGTGCGGAAGCTGCGTTTGCTCGCCCAAAGCGTACAAGGTCCGTTTC